TGGGGATGGGGGCTGCTGGGAGGGGATGGGGGCTATTGGGGAACAGGGACCACCAGGGGGATGGGGACTACCAGGGAACAGGGGCTACTGGGGGACAGAGACCACCGGGAGGGGATGGGGACCACCAGAAGGGGATGGGGACTACTGGGGGACAGGGACTACTGGGAGGGGAGGGAAGGACCCCCAAAAGATGAGGGAAGGGCCACCAGGAAATGAGGGATGGACCGAGGGAGGGACCTCCAGGAAGGGAGGGAGGGGGATACCCCCAAAAAATGAGGGAAGGACCCCCACAGCAAGGTTTGGGGGTTGGGAAGGTTTGGGATTCGGGAAGGGCAGAGAAAAATTTGGGATTCAGGAATCAGCCCCGCCCCTCGCTCACCTTCCCCTGTTCGCCCCCGAGCCAGCCCCAAACCGCAGCGATCCCAAAGCATTCCCGGTCCCGGTCCCTGTCCCACGTAATTCCCAGATCCCGATCCCGGTGCCCATCCTGGTCCTGGTCCCGGTGCCGGTCCCGGTGCCGTCCCTGGCCAGGCCGGGGCCGCTCCCCCCGCCGGGGCTGGAATTGGAATGCGGCCCTTCCAGCCCGGCCGGTGGGACCGGGAGCGCCCGGGGCCGCCCGGGACTGGCACGGGATGGGGCCGGCCCGGGATGGGGCCCCGGGACTGGCACGGGATGGGGCCGGCCCGGGATGGGGCCCCGGGACTGGCCCGGGATGGGGCCGGCCCGGGATAGGGCCCCGGGCCTGGCACGGGATGGGGCCCCGGGACTGGCACGGGATGGGGCCGGCCCGGGATGGGGCCCCGGGACTGGCACGGGATGGGGCCGGCCCGGGATGGGGCCCCGGGACTGGCACGGGATGGGGCCGGCCCGGGATGGGGCCCCGGGACTGGCACGGGATGGGGCCGGCCCGGGATGGGGCCCCGGGACTGGCACGGGATGGGGCTGGCCCGGGATGGGGCCCCGGGACTGGCACGGGATGGGGCCGGCCCGCGGTGGGGCCCCGGGACTGGCACGGGATGGGGCCGGCCCGGGATGGGGCCCCGGGACTGGCACGGGATGGGGCCGGCCCGGGATGGGGGCCCGGCAGTGCCCGGCTGGCACCGGGACCCCCCAGATCCCGCCCGTCCTTCCCTAACCCCGAACCTTCCTTAATCCCGAACATTCCCAAATCCCAAACATTCCCAAACCCCGAACCTTCCCGATTCCCAAACATTTCCTGTCCTTTTAGAATCTCAAAACTTCCCAAATCCCAAATTTGAGGTCTGAGAAGGAGAGGAAAGGTTTGGGGTTTGGGAAGGTCTAGGATTTGGGATTTGAGAAGGTCAGGGAAAGATTTGGGATCTGGGAGCGTTTGGGGTTTGGGAAGGTTTGGGGTTTGGGGTTTGGGAAGGTTTGGGGTTTGGGGTTTGGGAAGGTTTGGGGTTTGGGAAGAGGATCTTTGGGATTGGGCTCACTGAACACCGCGAGGATTTTGGGGATGAGAATCTCAAAGCCAGGAATCCCCAAACCCGAATTCCTGAATCCCGAATAACTCCCAAATCCTCGAATTCCTGAATAATCCCTGAACAATGCCCGAATAATCCCCAAATAATTCCTGAATAATTCCTGAATAATGCCTGAATATTTCCCGAAATTACCAAATAATTCCTGAATAATCCCCGAATAATTCCTGAACAATTCCCGAACAATTCCCAAATAATTCCTGAATAATGCCTCAATATTTCCTGAATAATTCCCAAATAATCCCTGAATAATCCCCAAATATTTCCTGAATAATTCTGGAATAATCCCCGAATAATTGCTGGATAATTCCCGAATATTTCCCAAAAAATTCCCAAATAATCCCTGAATAATTCCTGGATAATTCCTGAATATTTCCCAAAAAATTCCCAAATAATCCCTGAATAATTCCTGAATAATGCCTGAATATTTCCCGAATAATTCCCGAATAATCCCTGAATAATCCCTGAATAATTCCTGGATAATTCCTGAATATTTCCCAAAAAATTCCCAAATAATCCCTGAATAATTCCTGGATAATTCCCGAATATTTCCCAAAAAATTCCCAAATAATCCCTGAATAATTCCCGAATAATGCCTGAATATTTCCCGAATAATTCCCAAATAATCCCTGAATAATCCCCAAATATTTCCAGAATAATTCCCGAACAATCCCTGAATAATTCCTGAATAATTCCCGAATAATTCCTGGATAATTCCCGAATATTTCCCAAAAAATTCCCAAATAATCCTTGAATAATTCCTGAATAATTCCCGAATATTTCCTGAATAATTCCTGAACAATCCCTGAATAATTCTTGAATAATTCTCAAATAATCCCTGAACCATTCCCGAACACATCCCCAAACCATTCCCGAACCATTCCCGAACCATCCCCGAACCATTCCCGAACCATTCCCGAACCATCCCCGAACCATTCCCGAACAATTCCCGAACATTCCCAAACCATTCCCGAACCATTCCCGAACCATCCCCGAACCATTCCCGAACCATTCCTGAACAATCCCCGAACCATTCCCGAACAATTCCCGAACCATTCCCGAACCATTCCCCCAGGCCGTGGCCATCGCCTGCGGGTTCCTGGCCGTGCTGCTGCTGTGCCTCATCTGCGTGCTGGCGCACAAGACGCGCAGCAGGATCTGGAAGTACGGAAAGCACAACATCCACTGGGACCGGCCCCCCGCGGGGCCGCAGGGCGCCGACGTCGAGGAGTGGGTGAGAGCCGGACGTTGGGAGCGGGGATGTTGGGAGGTTGGGGATTTTGGGAGTTTGGGGATTGTTGGGAGTTTGGGGATTGTTGTGAGTTTGGGAGTTTGGGCATTGTTGGGAGTTTGGGGATTGTTGGGTGTTTGGGAGTTTGGGATTGTTGGGAGTTTGGGATTGTTGGGTTTTTGGGAGTTTGGGGTTGTTGGGATTTGCAGATGGTTGGAATTGTTGGGATTCTTGGGTTTTTGGGAGTTTTGGGAGTTTGGGTTTGTTGGGTTTTTGGGGATTGTTGGGTTTTTGGGATTTGGAATTGCTGAGATTGTTGGGATTGTTGGGATGGTTGGGAGTTTGGGGATTGTTGGGAGTTTGGGGATTGTTGGGTTGTTGGGAGTTTGGGGATTGTTGGGATTTTTGGAAATCTTGGGATTTTGGAATGGTTGGGTTTGTTGGTTTTTTGGGGATTGTTGGGATTGTTGGATTTTGCGATTGTTGGGATTGTTTGGATTGTTGGAAATGTTGGGATTTTGGGGATTTTTGGGATTTTGGGGGTTGTTGGGATTTTGGGAGTTTGGGGATTGTTGGGGTTGTTGGGATTGTTGGGATTTTGGGATTGTTGGGTTTTTGAGACTGGATTGTTGAGATTTTAGGACTTTGCGATTGTTGGGATTTGGGGATTGTTGGAAATGTTGGAAGTTTGGGATTGTTGAGATTGTTGGGATGGTTGAGAGTTTTGGGATTGTTGGGATTTTTGGAAATGTTGAGTATTTGGGGATTGTTGGGATTGTTGGGATTGTTTGGATTGTTGGGTTTTTGGAATTTGGGATTGTTGGGATGGTTGGGATTGTTTGGATTGTTGGGAGTTTTGGGATTGTTTGGTTTGTTGGAATTTGGGGATTTTGGGGACTGTTGGAATTGTTGGGATTGTTGTTATTTTTGGGACTGTTGGACTTTTGGGGATTTTTGGGAATGTCGGGATTGAGATCTGGGGGATCCTTCCCAGCCCTATTCCAGTGGGGTTGGAAATTCCCAGATTTGGGATCGGAGTGTGGGGAGGGCTTTGGGGGATTTAGGGGGTTTGGGGACACCGGGACGGGTTTGGGGACACCGGGAGGGGACTTCAGGGGAATTTGGGGACTTCAAGGGGGGTGTGGGGACACGAGGATTATGTAGGGATCCCAGGAGGGGTTTGGGGACCCCAAGAGGGCTTGGGGACACTGCGAGGTGACCCTGCCGGGTGACACTGCCAGGTGACACTGCCGGGTGACCCTGCCAGGTGACACTGCCAGGTGACACCGGGGCCACCGGGCGGTTTCGGTCTGGCCAATGATTAACCGGGAGGTGGCAGCAGGAAAACCCGGAGTGGTGGCACTGGATGGGGACCTTGGGGACATCCCGGTGTGACCAGCGTGGCCCGGGATGTGTCACCTGCTGGGGACGGGGCGGGAATGTCACAGCGGTCCCGCGGGAAGGGTTGGGACAGTGGCTTTGGGGACACTCCTGTCCCTGTCCCTGTCTCTGTCCCCTGTCACCAACCCTGTCCTTGTCCCCTGTCCCCATCCCTGTCCCCTGTGTCCCCATTCCTGTCTCCTGTCCCTGTGTCCGTGTCCCCTGTCGCTGTCTGTTCCTGTCTCTGTCCCCATCCCTGTCCCCTGTGTCCCCATCCCTGTCCCCTGTGTCCCCATCCCTGTCCCCATCCCTGTCCCTGTCCCCACGCCACCACTCCCAGTCCCGTGTCCCTGGGCCGCGCTCCCTGGGTCGTTTTTTATTTAATTTTATTTAATTTTATTTATTTTCATTTCTTTTGATCCCGCCCGCCTTTATTTGCCCAAAGCCCCTCCCTGGCCGAGCATTTCCTGTCCCTTTGGGGACACGGTGCCACCCCGGCTGCCACCCCCAAATGCCACCCCCCCACCCCGTGCCACCTCCCCTCTTTCAGGGTGTCACCCCCTTTGGGGACACCTCTGTCCCCAGATGCCACCACGGCTTGGGGACACACCTGGTGGCCCCCGAGAGGGGACAGCGGCGGAAGTGGCGTGTCCGGCCGGATGTCCCCAAGGCCACCAAGCCGGCGGGGACCGGCGTCCGGCACAAACAACCCACAAAGGGCCGGAAGGAAGGGGACAGGGGACAGCCGGATGTCCCTTGTCCCTCTGTGGGGCCACCCCAAACCCTTGGGGGCGTCACCCTGAGGGTGGCACCAGCCCCGAGCTCTGTCCCTTTGTCCCTTTGTCCCTTTGTCGCTGTCTCTCCACGGGCATTTGGGGTTTTTGGGGTTTTTTGGGCTTTTGGGGTTTCTGCGTTTGGGGGTTTTTGGTTTTGGGGTTTTTGACTTTTTGGGGTTTTTGGGGTTTAGGTTTTTGGTTTTTTTTGGGGTATCTGGGTTTGGGGTTTTTGGGTTTTTTTGGTTTTGGTGTTTTTTGGTTTGGGGTTTTTGGGCTTTTTTGGGATGTCTCTAGAGGATCTGGGAGACTCCAAGTGGGACAACAACCCTTGGTTCCCGTGGACTTTCTGGGATTTCTCAGGGAATTTTCAGGGATTTCTTGTGGGATTCTCAGGGATTTATCAGTGAATTTTCAGGGATTTTTTTGGGATTTCTCAGTGGATTTTCAGGGAATTTTCCGGGATTTCTCAGACAATTTCCAGGGAATTTTTGGGGATTTCTTGGTGGGTCTTCAAGGAATTTACTGGGATTTCTTGGACAATTTTCACGGAATTTTTAGGGATTTCTTGGTGAATTTTAAGGGATTTCTTGGTGAATCTTCAAGGAATTTTCAGGGACTTCTCGGACAATTTTCGGGGAATTTTCTGTGATTTCCCGGACAATTTTCAGGGAATTTTCGGAGATCTCTCCGGGAATTTCGGGGCAATTTCCACGCAATTTTCTCGGGGGCATTTCTCGCCGATTTCTCCTGAGTTTTCCCCCAAAATCCCAAATCCCGACCCTTTTTCCAGGTGAAGAACGTGTCGGGCGGGACGAGCGTTCCGGACGAAGCCGCCACCGTGGCGTACTCGGAGAAGGGCGGGACCCCCGGGCCGGCCCCTCCCTACAGCCCCCCCTCGTACAGCGACCCCCCCGTGAAGGGCTGGAAAAGGTGGGGAGGGGGCGGCAGGGCCAGGGGAAGGGAGGGGGAATGGGGGGAATATGGGGAATATGGGGAGGGGGCGGGGAAAGGGGTGGGAAAATGGGGAAGGGGTGGAGGAGGGAGGGAAAGG